GTTGCATTTTTCTGTAGCAGCTTGTACAGTGGTGATAGTTTACCAGACAGATTCCCTATGAACTTTGCATAGTAATTTATCAAGCCCAAAAAAGCTCTTAGTTGTTGGGTATTTTCAGGTTTGGGTGCTTCTTTAATGGCTTTTGTTTTCTCAGGTTGAGGTCTGATACCTTGCTTGCTTAATATATAACCAAGAAAACTAATTTCTGTCGGCATGAATTGACATTTATCTTTGTTTATCTTTAACCCTTTTTCACCAACTATTTTCAAGACTTTATCAAGTGTTTCAAGATGTTCAGTGTCATTCTTACCAGTTATGTACACATTGTCAATGTACACACAAACATTTGGAATATCCTTAAAAATACTGTCCATGACAGCTTGGAAAATTCCAGGGCTGGATGATATGCCAAAACATAGTCTTTCATATTGGTAGAGTCCTTTATGTGTGTTTATTGTCGTATAGACTTTTGAATCTGGATGCAGTTCTAGTTGAGTGTAAGCATGACTAAAGTCTAATTCAGTGAATTTGTCTCATCCTGCCAAATTCAAAGAAATTTCCTCAATGTTAGGTATAGGGTACCTATTTAGCTCTATTTGCTTATTCAGTGTAGCTTTGTAGTCTCCACAAATTCTTATAGAACCATCCCTCTTTAACACTGGCACAATGGGCGTTGCCCAATCGGAATAGTCTACCTTCTTTATGATGCCATTAGATTCCAATCTACTTAGCTCATTTTCAATTTTATTCCTCATTGCATAAGGTGGAACTCTAGCTTTGCAGTATCTTGGATTTGTGTCTTTAATGCTTATCTTCACTGTTCTATCATTTAGTAAACCTGAATTGCCAAAAACACTTTTATTTTCAGATATTACTTTATCTATTGAAGTAAGACTAGATTCTCTTACATTCTTCAATGAACATATACTCTCCCAATTTAACTTAAGATCACTTAACCAGTTCCTACCTAGTAATGGTGGTCCATTTCCTTCAACCACAAGAAGAGGAAGTTTGACCATTATAACATACATGAACCATACACTCTCCTATTACCGGAACATTGTCACCAGTGTATGTTGTTAGACACTTGTGACATGGCTGTAGAGGCACTGATCCTCCTGTGACAGCGTCAAAATCTTTCTTTGTTATGACTGTTAGAGATGCTCCAGTGTCAAGTTGGAAGCTGATGCTCTTACCGTTGATATTAACTGGTACATTGATGGGAGCATGACTTATTGATTTCACAGAGAACAGGTTGAAATCCGGCTGCGAATCAGTTTGAGCATTTTCACTGGTAGAGTGGTTCATTGGTTGGGTTAGGTAGTCTTGGTGAGAGTTAACATAGTGCTGCCTTTGGTTGCGGTACTGTCTTGACTGGCTAGATTTAGCAACAGACGAAGACTTTGCGAAGCAGGCCTTGGCAATGTGACCTTGCTTACCGCACTTATAACAAGTTGCAGACTTGAACTTGCACCGATGAGATGCATGGGGACCTTTGCATCGATGACATTTTTGATAATTATTACTAGATTTAGATCTAGGCTTTAAACGTGCAGGCTGTTTAGCATAAGTTGGAATGCTCTGATGGGGTTGGTGTTTATTGACTAACCTGCTGTTTACTGCATGGATCTCTGAAGGTGCTAGAGATCTCGCCGCATCAGATGACTGCTGGAATGAAGTTGCTAGTTGTATTGCTTTTTCTAATGTTAGATCTGACTCGAGCAGCAACTTTCTTTGAACATCAGGACTGTTTACACCTGTCACAAACTTTTCACATAGTCTGTCAGACAGCGTATCGCCGAATTCACAAAATTTACTTAGATGACGTAAAGCAGCAACATATTCTGATATTGACTCGTTTGATTGACGAGTCCTACCGTCAAATCTAGCTCGACATAGAAACTTTGATGGGGTAGGCGCATGGTGGTCTGTTAGCAATTTGCTCAGCTCGTTAAAGCTCTTGGTAGTTAGACTAGCTGGTGCGCATAAGTCTTTTAGTAGCCTAAATTGTTGAGGCCCTATGACTGTTAACAAAACAGCTCTCTTTTTGGCTTCTATCGTCACGTTGTTTGCTTCAAGGTAAAAGCTTAACCTATCTAGGTAATCTTGAATGATTTCCTCATTCGAATCAAATTCTTTTATTTGGCCATACAGCGCCATTATTCTAGAAATACTTAGCTAATATGCTCTAGCAAACCTCTTTTTTGCGTAAGTAGGTGCTCTTTCTAGTGGATTATTTATCCTTCGTCGCCAATGTAATAGATTGTAATCACTGACGAGAAGCCGTGTTGATTGTTAACAGTCTTTATTTACAGCCATGATGGAAAGAGGAAGGAAGTACAATACACAAGGGACATCACTCATAATAATAACAACATTATAAATATAACTAATCCAAGAAGAGTGAGTTCCCTTGACCTCACAATTATCTCAATATATTACACAAGGAAAAATCGTTTGTTGGTGATGGCTGAGGAACTTTGCGCAGACAAAATCAAAGACATGCCTGGAAGAAACTGGCCCCCGAACTGAAATTTGATAGTTAATGCGGCCCTCGGACTGAAAAGTTTGGAGACCCCTGGTATAGACTATAGAATACTTAGTATAGATCTAGACCTATAATAAGAGACGGGTATTTTCTATTACTAAGATTGAAGATGGGTTCAAAATCACTGTTTATTGTTTATCCCTCTTCTACTAACTTACTACTAATAAGATGTAAGATCTAGACCTAGACTAATTCTAAGTCCTAGATCTAGATCTAGTGGAAACGAAACCGCGCCGCCATCTTTGTAAATTGCTTCGAGAGCTTGGGCCGTGAGATAAAAAAAATACAAATATAATTTTAATATTTTTAATAATCAAACAAACCCGTAGATCTCTAGATCTAGATCTACTTATTCAGTATTCAATCTTCCTTGTTGCAAGACTAGAAATCTAGATCTAAGATGTTTATTAAAATTGGATCAAAACGTAAAAATACGCTAGTGATCACAAGCAGGGACAGGTGACCACAGGCAAAAATAAACCGGGAGTGATCTCCCCTAAACGTTCTCGAATATTCTTATACGAGAAAAATGGCCCGTTGAGGGAGGATACAACGGGCGCTAGGTTGATAGTGCTGTCTATTTTCTCGGTACTTTATTCAAAATATAGTCATAGGCATATCCCTAAAACATGCACCTAATCTCAATGACAAAAGTCGCATTAAGAGTTTCTTCAGGCAACTCTACTTGGGAGGAAGGGGGCTTCGCCCCCCCCCCCACCACACACACACTCCAAAACATGTCTACCGTCCCATTCAACGAAATATAATTATATACTTTTTCCAGTGTATGCCCCCTCCCAGAAAATTCTACCCCCGCCCCCGAAAATTTCAAGTACCCCCACCCCTCTCCGGGGAGGAAAAAGTCTGAAAGAAACACTGGTCGCATTTGTAGATCATACAAACTAAAGGAAGAATCTGGGCGGGGCTTCGCCCCTACCGGAAGAGATGCTTGAAAAAAAAACTGCACGCTAAACACTTTTTAGATTAGAAAAAGTCCGCCCCTCCAGGGAGGAAAAAGTCTGAAAGAAACACTGGTATCGCGCTTAGCCACTACCCAAAGAATTGCATGAAAGAAATTGCAAGAAACCCACTTTTTAGATTAGACACATTAATTAGGCGGTAATTTTATTATAGAGTATCGATGAAGACATTTCTTTTGAGTTGGGGAGGGGGGGGGGCTCAGACGTTTTTACGCGGGGGTGGGGCTTCGCCCCTACCCGAAGAATTGTATGAAAGAAACTCTTCACGCAAACCACTTAGATTAGACAAAATTGCCTTTTTATTGAATGTTTACTCGAGAATCAATGACGTCATATTACTGTGTGCACTCTCCGGCTTGAAATTATTTTCTACTATATGACGTCATACTTCGTTTCCGTCTGACTGTGCATGTTTTTAAATTGCTTGTGTTTTCTCTAGAGCGTTCTTGTCAGATAGATAGATACATAGATAGATAGATACATAGATAGACAGACAGCGAAACTATTATTATAGATAAAACAACATTGGATGGGAACTCGGGCTATAGACATGATTTTAAATCCATTTTTAATTACTTAAACTTTAAAAATAGAATAGAATCTCGTAGAAAAATAATTGCGTACCAAGTGAACGCCAAATAAAAAAAAGCATAATAGTGCGCAATATTATTAGTACTTTAAAAATTTACATTAGTTTTTTGAGAAATCGGAAGTAGCGTAAATGACTACTTCCGGTGAACTGAAATTACTCAAAATTTAACAGACGGTAGAGAATTAGATCTTTTACTTACATGTGAAATTTCATTTATCTATCTGAAATAGTACTCGAGTTATAGGCTTTTGAAAAACTTAAAGTAGAAAAAGTACCACTTCCGTTTATCGGAAATCGCTCAAAAGTTGATTCAGATCTACGATTTTGATAAAATACTTATATATGAAATTTCATCAACCTAGCTGTAACGGTACTCAAGTAATCGTGTATACACACACACAGACACACAGACATTAGGACAAGATTGCAAAATTATGTTTTTCCGTATCAGTTAAATGTAAAACGTATGTAGGGTGCGACAAGGTGGTGTAAAATGTGCTATTGAATATATTAATATAAATTTTTTCAAATGGTTTACAGTACCCATAATGAGAATTAGAAAGACACTACATTTCTTTTTGCTTTTAAATGAAGTTGAATAAGTATAACAATGAACATATTTTTAAAAAAATGTACTAATAATTTGCAGAAGAATTTTTATACTGTCATAAAAGTCAAATGTTAACTTTACATGACATGCCAAGCAAGCCTTTGTTGTCTGACACTGACCTCAACTAACTGGCATGTTAAGGCATTAAATAATCAGAAGAGGCTCAAATTAACCGCAGCATTCAACACACAGTGGTCTTATTGGAATTAATTAATGTTAGAATACAGACATTGGTAGTAAAACACTAAGAAGGATTTGATAGATTTAGTTAGCAATTTTAATTTCATGTTACAATCTTATACCAGTTTACTACAGTAACATTTTCATCAAAGTGTTTATAAAAATAAAGAATACAAAATTAAACACATCAAAACAACAATTTTGCTAAAAATATGATACCAAAATGTCAAAACATAACCTTTGCAGGTTTATTGTTCTTGCTTTTTAATGCTTAACTTGTATGTGGTGTTATTGTTTCAAGCATTAGAAACTGATAGTTGTGTTAGTAAATGATCCCACTTGACCTTGATGAGACCAAAGAAAAAGATCAACTATAAATGTTTAGCAGCAAAGATGGTGAAAAATGGGTAATTTACTATTATAATTTATTAAGAACAGTTTTCTGTTACCTGTAAATTACATTAAAATTTATGCAATGAACCTTTTGCAATTTTTACAAATATACATAAATATATATAAGTGACCTAGAAGTAGATGTTAAACATTATCCTATTATTAACATATACAGATTGTGAATGAGTTAAAGATAAGAAATTCTATTCTATTGATGCTTCAACAATTTAAGTAATGTAACATATTATTATTTAATAATTATTATTATTAACCACCATTCTGGTTAAAGTTTTCATGACAAATATCATATAAAATCTCATATATGAATTTCTTTGTGCCTACTATAACATCACTTTCACATGGCTCAACACCTGAATGAGCTTTTCTATGTTTATTTAAATTAGCACTGTTTAAAATCCTTTTATGACAAACATCGCATCCATAACACTTAACTAATAAAAGAATATTTTTTGGTTTGCTTAGAGAAGAACTGTCTGAAAACTTTTTGTGTCAAACATCACATTCATTTGGATATCTCCTGAATGAACTCTTTTGTGTTTATTTAAGTAAGAACTCTGAGAAAACCATTTATGACAAACATCACATTCATATGGATTTTCTCCTAAATGAAATCATCTGTTTCTATTTAAATTAGAACTCAGAGAAATCTTTTTACGACAAACATCACATTCATAAGGCTTAACTACTAAATGATTATTTTGAACTCTTTTGTGTTTGCTTAGAGTAGAACTGTGTGGAAACTCTTTATGATAAACATCACATTTATATAGCTTAACACAAGAATGAACAATTTTATGTTTGCTTACAGTAGAACTGTAAAACATCACATTCAAATTGTTTATCTCCTGAATAAACTCTTTTGCGTTTCCTTAAATCAGAATTGCCAGAAAACATTTTGTGACAAAGATAACATTCATGTGTTACTAGTGGCTGCTTAGAGCAAAAATTTTAGAAAAATATTTATGGTAATCATCACATTCATGTGGCTTATCTCCAGAATGAACTTTTTTATGCTTCCTTAAACTAGAACTATATGAAAACTTTTTATGACAAACATCACATTCAAATGGTTTATCTTCTGAATGAACTTGTTTGTGTGCATATAAATTAGAACTCTGAGAAAACTTTTTTTGACAAACATGACATTCAAATGATTTATCTCCTGAATGAACTGCTTTATTGTGTTTCGTTAAATCATAATTCCTTGAAAACCTTTTGTGACAAGGATCACATTCATGTGGCTCCTGTCAATTTGGCTCCAGACAAAAGGACCACTGACAATACCATTTCTGTAGAGACTAAGTCTCCCGGCAAAGCGGTCTCATTGAATATGACACCTGCCAGTGGGACCCCTTCATCAATATTCTTTAGAGTTAGCTTATTCAACACTTTTATGTAATACATTACAAAGTATGCATCTCTTGTTCGGCAGGCCCTATTTTTATATTAGTTTATCTATTATAAAATATAGTATGTTTTAATTTAAGGGTCATCTATCTATGACATCCATAATTGAGTCGGTTATAGGCTGTTCCAACTCAGTGTGTGGGGAGAAGGATCCACGCTGTACCTTCCTCCTACCTCCAGTATGCTTGTAGGTTATCAAAACCAAATGCTGTTATCATGTAAACATCATGTATATCATACATTTACACTTCTGTGCTCACTTTTAAGCAACAGATCTTTTCTGTTGTAAATTTAACATTATCAAAACTTTAGAATTGGTGAAATTTAGCTGTTAAGGGCTCGCTTTGTTGGTTCATTCGGGCATTTAAAAGAGTTTATAGTGGTATTAGAGGTAAGATAAAATTGTTACTTTTATGCCAATAGTGGTCATGCAATTCATTGGTCTGGAGCCAATATGTCGAGAGTCATTTAATCAAAGCCAATATTTTGGGAGCCCAATTGCCGGGAGCCAACATGTCAGGAGCCCTTATCTTGAGCCCTTATATCGGCAGCCAATATGTCGGGAGTCTTTATTTCAGAAAAATATTTCGGGCAATCACCACATTCACGTGGTTTATCTCCAGTATGAGCTTTTCTATGTTTCCTTAAATAAGAACTAGATGAAAACTTTTTATGACAAACATCACATTCAAATGGTTTATCTTCTGAATGAACTTTTTTGTGTGCATATAAACTAGAACTCTGAGAAAACTTTTTTTGACAAACATCACATTCAAATGGTTTATCTCCTGAATGAACTCTTTTGTGTGTATATAAATTAGAACTAAATGAAAACTTTTTATGACAAACATCACATTCAAATGGTTTATCTTCTGAATGAACTTTTTTGTGTGCATATAAACTAGAACTCTGAGAAAACTTTTTTTGACAAACATCACATTCAAATGGTTTATCTCCTGAATGAACTCTTTTGTGTGTATATAAATTAGAACTCTGAGAAAACTTTTTATGACAAACATCACATTCAAATGGTTTATCTTCTGAATGAACTTTTCTATGTTTCCTTAAATAAGAACTAGATGAAAACTTTTTATGACAAACATCACATTCAAATGGTTTATCTTCTGAATGAACTTTTTTGTGTGCATATAAACTAGAACTCTGAGAAAACTTTTTTTGACAAACATCACATTCAAATGGTTTATCTCCTGAATGAACTCTTTTGTGTGTATATAAATGAGAACTAAATGAAAACTTTTTATGACAAACATCACATTCAAATGGTTTATCTTCTGAATGAACTTTTTTGTGTGTACATAAACTAGAACTATATGAAAACTTTTTTTGACAAACATCACATTCAAATGGTTTTTCTTCTGAATGAACACGTTTGTGTGTATATAAACTAGAACTCTGAGAAAACTTTTTATGACAAACATCACATTCAAATGGTTTATCTCCTGAATGAACTCTTTTGTGTGTATTTAAACTAGAACTCTGAGAAAACTTTTTATGACAAACATCACATTCATGAGGCTTATCTCCTGAATGAACTTTTTTGTGTTCCGCTAAATGAGAATTCCTTGAAAACCTTTTGTGACAAACATCACATTCATAATGTCTAACTAGTAAATGTATTTTTTTGTGGTTGCTTAGAGCAGAACTATTAGATAACTTTTTATGACAAACATCACATTCATATGGCTTATCTCCAGAATGAATTTTTTTATGTTTACTTAACCTAGAACTATCTGAAAATGTTTTTTTGCAAGCATCACATTTAAGTGGCCTCTCCCCTACTTGAGCTTGTTTATTCAAGTTAGATCTTTGAAAAAACTGTTCATGATGATCATGAGGATCAACAGACAGATATGTTTCATCTTCAGAGAGTTTTAGCTTTTCTTCAAGTCCATTTTGTTGTTTGTCCTCAGAATCTAAAAATTTTGTCCATAAATCTGGTTTTAAATCTTTGTTGGTTGATAAAGTTTCTAATTCTGGGATTATATCTTCGCTAGTTGATAAAGTTTCTAATTCACGTTTTAGATCTTCACTAGTTGATATATTTTCTAATTCTGGATTTATATCTTCAGGAGTTGATAAAATTTCTAATTCTGTGTTGGTTGATAAAGTTTCTAATTCTGGTTTTATATCTTCACAAGTTGATAAAGTTTCTAATTCTGGTTTTATAATTTCAGATCTTGTACATACTGCTGATACAGCAGGTTCCATATCTTTAAAAATTAAAAATCCTGTTGTTTTATCTTGAGAAGTTAGAAATGTCATATGGTGTTTTACATCATCAAAAGAGGAAAATGTTGTACATTCTGACTTTGTGTCTGTAGAAGATGAAAAATCTGGCGTAACAACGGTTTTATCATCCTGAAAATTTATAAATGTCATGTTTGGTTTGATATCACGGAAAGTTAAAAATGATAATTCTGTTTTTATATCAGAAGAAGATGAAAATACTGTAGATAGAAGTGGCTTCACATCTTCAGAATTTGAAAATTCTTTAAACTCATCAGACTGTAAATCTAAATCACCAGTTGCCTCTCCCATGCTGCTTCTTATAAATGAACTGAGGATTAGATATTTAAATGTTAAAGTGGTGATTATATAGATCTAGTAACTATAGTCAAAACAAAGTTTTTTCAATAAAACTTCTCAGATGCATATTAAAATATCTTAGAAATGAATTTAGATAGCTTAAAGTTAACACAATCAATAAACAATTTTAAAAATAAAATAATTAATGTATTGTATATGCCTAAGAGTGGCGGATTATGGTAGAAAATAAAATCAAACTTAAAATATTTTTTTTCAATGAGGAAAGCGCAACGCTTCATGTTTTTAAGATATGAGGCGACATGACAAATAATAAATCTGGCCAAATGATTGGCTTTGGGCGCAGCACACATCTGAACGCGCCTTGTTTTTCACAAGATTATAATAAAATGCCATTAATGGGGAGGGGGGGGGGGTATATATGACTTCATAGTGACCTCACCTAAGGACATGATGTCACATGAGAAAGTTTTTTCAATAAAACTTCTCAGATGCATATTAAAATATCTTAGAAATGAATTTAGATAGCTTAAAGTTAATACAATCAATAAACAATTTTAAAAATAAAATAATTAATGTATTGTAAATGCCTGAGGGTGGCGGATTATGGTAGAAAATAAAATCAAACTTAAATTTTTTTTTGTTTTATACAATATTTGTACAAAATTAACATGCCATGCTTTTTAAATTGACAGAAGGTAAGTATACCATGTTACAAAAACTGCAATCATAACAATTCATATTTTCACTTTAAAAAATGAAAAAAAAAAAACAATCATCAATGAGGAAAGCGCAACGCTTCATGTTTTTAAGATATGAGGCGACATGACAAATAATAAATCTGGCCAAATGATTGGCTTTGGGCGCAGCACACATCTGAACGCGCCTTGTTTTTCACAAGATTATAATAAAATGGCATTAATGGGGAGGGGGGGGGGGTATATATGACTTCATAGTGACCTCACCTAAGGACATCATGTCACATGAGAATTATTCCCAAACCATTGTTTAATCATACACGGCATAACATTAGAATCATAGTTTAGAAGTTTATTTGATCGTAAGATCATTTTAAAACAAGAATATACAAAGCTACTTTCACTAAAGTGTTGCTTGCGAGATAAATAAAGAAATTGGGTCAAAAGTACACCTTACTATTCTTAATTAACAGACTAAGGTAATCTATGGTTTTATGTGCATAAAATCTGCAGAGGCTAGTAATGTTAAAAAGCCAGTAGTGATCTCCCCTAAGCTTTCTCGAATATTCTTATATAACACTACGGGGGATTGGCAACTCGGGATATACTATATATAGACACGATTTTTAAATCCATGTTTAAGTACTTAAACTTTTTAAAATAGAATAGAATCTTGTAGAAAAAAGAATTGCGCACCAAGGAAACGCGAAACAAAATGTGTATAATAGTGCGGAATATTATAAGTACTTTATATATTCACATGCATTTTTGAGAAATTGGAAATAGCGTCCATTACTACTTCTGGTCAACGGAAATTACTCTAAATTTGAAAGAAGGTGGAAAATTAGATCTTTTACTTACATATGAAATTTTATTTGTCTATCTGAAACAGAACTCAAGTTATAGGCTTTTGAAAAATTGAAAGTAGAATAAGTTCCACTTCCGGTTAATCAGAAATCGCTGAAAAGTTGATACAGAACTAGAAATTTGATATAATACTGTACACACCCTGTACTAGATTCTATATAAAAAACATTACTGTTGTTTAGTTTGTTATTTTTAAGTAAAATTAAATCACATTGTTAAAAGTGTTACTGTTTCTGTTTTCTTTTTGACTTTTAAAAAAAATGTATTACTGTTGCTTTAGACTTTAGATCACATGGTTAAAGTGTTAAATGTTCCTATTTTATCTTTGACTTTTTTTTTAAAAAATTCCATTGCCTCTATACTGTAGTACTATATTTTAACTATTATTTCTAGACTATTTGATTTTTATTTTACTCATTGGTTAGGCTATAAATATAGACTGCTAATAAAAAGTTTAAAATTTAAATGGAATTTGTTTAGACTGGAGAGCAATATTTATTTAGATCTATAGGAATCTAGGACCTATTTAAAATTTTAATTATTATTTACCCTATTGAGTCTATTAATGAATGGGACTATTAATTCCAATGCTTTGAATTTTATTTAATCCATAAAAAAGCTTTTTTATAAGCTTAGATCTTGCCAATTCAATAAACACTGTTAAATAGCAATAATGTGCGAATTTTTTATTTCATGCCTATGGGCCGTCATGAAAATTCTAACTCGGCCGCCATTATTAAAATTGCGTAGATCTATATCACTTCACGCAAGGAGCAATATCTCATATATAAGGAGCTCTAAAGCCCATAAAACCAACATTTCCATCCATCAAAATGGTTTGGCATTACTTATTTACTAGTTTCCTGTACTTATTCTCTTTTTTTAAAGCTGAAATTTAGTTCTGAAAGTAGCGGTTTGGTACTGCACGGCTTCGATTGATTTTCGCTATCATCGTTAGGTCGCTTTCAGTATCGAGTATTGTAAAATGACAGCTACTTCTATCAATGAAATATTTAAATGATAAAATTCAACGCATATGATAGTATCGAATATATTTAATTTTTCGATTCTGATGCCTAGAATTAGCATTCATCGGAACGGCGAATTTTTTCAAGTACGCTTGAAAAAGTCCGGATGTAGTTTGGATCACAAGATGGCAGCGAATCGAAAAGCCTACACATTACTAGCTACGTTGGAATTTACGACGCTAAACTAAGATTTTACCTTATATTCAAATATAGGTAATCTATCGTTTTGGGTACGTAAAATCGCCCGCGGCTATTAATGTACGAAAACGTTACCTCATTGTCAAGGCTGTAATAGAAGTATATTGTGATATGTTTGTGTCAAATATTATAGATAAATGAATAATAAACCTAAATCAATGGCTAAATATATCAGTATAGGCCCGAAATTAACTTTAAACAGCAGTGTCTGCAAGCAAGATTTGCTATATAAACAGCAGCCATTTGTAAAATAGAGTGACTTCCGCCTGAATCTTGCGCTAAAAGCTTATAAAAATAAAACTTAGACAAGATGGCTGCTATAGTAAATGAGCATGGTTGCATCTGTTGGAAACATCGCTAGTCTTCATTTATTACGGAAAAGTTTTAATTCAATTGTTTAAAAACAGGTACATAAATGAATCAAGGAAACATTTTTAAATTTTTTAAAACATAAATCCTCCTCAAAATGTGAAATAATTATTAAAATTTAAGGAGTCACCTGTTTTTCACATTACAAATCGCGGACGATTTTACGTACCCAAAACGATAGATTACCTCAAATATATTCTACCCTATAACAGAGTAGAAGTTAGATCTAGTTAGAAGTACTTAGAATTAGAAAAGTAGAAAACTAGAACTACTAGAAGTAGAAGAGTCGTCGTTGTGATGACTGAGTGATGTGCGTAAGCCGTCACTCAACAACAGTGACAACACCGACCGGCTGACCGAGCCTCAGTTAATTTAATGTAAATATTGTAGGGAAGGCCCAATTATTTTGTATTGCTTATGTTGCCTATGATAGGCTATATTTATATAAAGAATTGTGACTGCGTTCTTTTTTAGTGTCTTAACTTATACTGTAAATGTATATTTACCTGGAAAGGAATCTTTAAAGATACCAGTTAAAATATTTTCATCTTCCACGTCTATAACATCTGCCATTTTTGTTTGGGTAAATCTAAACTACGGAATTTTAGATTGTCTCCGCATAGTTTAGCTATGGTCTAAATACCGTACACAATTTATTAGAGCTGGTAGAAAAAAACCTTACAAAAACCTTTTAGATAGAAAAAAAAAAAGGATTTTGAAACAACGAAAGGCTGAAAGTTATGCCACGAACAATACAATATACAATAAAATACATGCATCGGGTTGAAGGATAGGTAATTCTTAAGTTGGTCTAACTAATCTAACAAAACACAAACGATTGTAAAGTTGGTAAAAAATATTTACATTTGACAGAAACAGACAGGTAATGGACAGTAAAACCATAGAAAGATAAGAAAAACACATTTTTCGACTTCAGCTGCTGATTGTTTTATTAAACATACGTTTATTTTAGCTAGACAATTGACTAAGACATCGGGGATGAATTTCGCCCTTAAAAATAACATTTTGATGTTTTAAAAAATTAAAGCGTTCAAATATCTAAAATCTAAAAAAGCCCATCTTGTATCTATATCTTTAATGTTGATATTCGTGGATTTCAGGAAGAACAAGTTTTGTTTCGTTTTTTCCTGGTATATAGTTCCACCTTGAAGAAAAAAAGAACACACTTCATTGAAGTCATATAACTTTTAAAAGTTTTTCTTTTCATTAGAACCACTAAGATGTACATACAATGTCCATTTCCACATAAATGTCAAAGCAAATTTTCCAAAACTCCCCCAATGTCCATGTAATGTCCACCTCCCATCCCTCAATGGTTCGAATAACGAATAATGTCCATCCACCTCCCCAAAATGTTAACGAAATGTCCACCCACCTCACCAGAATGTCCAACGAAATAACCACCCACCTCCCCAAAATGTCCACCAAATGTCCATACTGCTCCCCAAAAAGTCCACAAAATGTCCACGAAATGTCCACCCAACTCCCCAGAATGTCACAAAATGTCCACGAAATGTCCACCAACGTCCCCAAAATGTCTAACGAAATGACCACCCACCTTGCCAAAATGTCCACGAAATGACCACCCACCTCCCCAAAATGTCCACGAAATGTCCACCCAACTCCCCAGAATGTCCACAAAATGTCCACGAAATGTCCACCAACGTCCCCAAAATGTCCACAAAATGTCCACCCACCTTACCAAAATGTCCAACGAAATGACCACTCACCTCCAGTCTCGCATCTTTGGCTTGGACCACTTGACCATGACACCGTCCAGACGGTAGGGCTCAACGTTAGTGGCGTCAAAACTGGGCGGTCTCCGGGTCATCTTCAGGAGGTCCTGGGCATCAAAATGTGCCCACTCGTACACGGTGTCCTGTGAAATAACACATCTGTCAGGCTAGCTGGTTAACTTCGCGTCACGGTGTCCTGTGAAATCAACACGACTGTCAGGCTAGCCGGTTAACTTAGCGTCACGGTGTCCTGTGAAATCAACACACCTGTCAGAATAGCCGGTTAACTTAGCGTCACGGTGTCCTGTGAAATCAACACACCTGTCAGGCTAGCTGATTAACTAATGCGCTTAAAATTTAAAAAAAAAAATGCCTCATGTACTGTTGGACAAATTATTTTGACGTTTGAGACTATAATTTAGTAATGCAGCTCAAAATAAGCTTTATATTTATTTTTTTGACTACCCCGTTGGGCGACCCACCCGCCCTCCCCTAGCTACGCCTCTGTTCGTAGACCCACGTAAACTAAGTTCTTTTAGTGTGTATTATTATATAGCGTCCCTGTTACCTGGATGTTCTTCCAGTGAGAATATTGGTCCCTGATCTTCTCACCTGTCTTGGTCAGTTCCAGAGAGTGCAGGATGAGGGTTGGGCTAATCAGGGGGTTCACCTGTGTGTAGGTGAAGTCTCTCTCCGTGCAGCAAGTCGTCGTCTGGCAATGCTCGTCTGGTAACTTGCACATCTTCTGATGATGGATGTTGGATGTTATGTGTGATGTTGGATGTTGGAGGTTATGTTTAATGATGGATGTTGGACGTTATGTGTGATGGTGGATGTTGGATGTTATGTGTGATGTTGGAGGTTATGTTTAATGATGGATGTTGGACGTTATGTGTGATGGTGGATGTTGGATGTTATGTGTGATGATAGATGTTGGATGTTATGTGTGATGATAGATGTTGGATGTTATGTGTGATGATGGATGTTGGATGTTATGTGTGATGACGGATGTCGGATGTTATGTGTGATGACGGATGTTATGTGTGATGACGGATGTTATGTGTGATGATGGATGTCGGATGTTATGTGTGATGACGGATGTTATGTGTGATGACGGATGTTATGTGTGATGACGGATGTTATGTGTGGTGACGGATGTTATGTGTGATGATGGTTGTGTGATGACGGATGTTATGTGTGATGATGGATTCTATGTGTGATGATGGATTCTATGTGTGATGATGGATGTTGGATGTTATGTGTGCTGATGGATGTGTGATGACGTATGTTATGTGTGATGATGGATGTTATGTGTGATGATGGATGTTATGTGTGATGTTGGATATGTTGAGTGATGATGGATGTTAGATGTTATGTAGGATGATGGATGTTTGATGTAGTGTATGAAGATGAATGTTGGACGTTATGTGTGAGATGGATGATGGATGTTAGATGTTATGTGTGATGATGAATGTTGGACGTTATGTATGATGATTGATGATTGACTAACACATCTCCTGGTAATGGTGTGAGGATGTTATGAACGATGGTGTACGTTGGGCTTTATGTTAAACTAATACAACATATAACTGATATAATGTATGATGGACATTTACAACTAATACTTCTTCTCTTCTTCTTCGTTCTTAATTTTTAGTATTGGAAGGGATCGAGCCTTATTTGCCAGAAGTTTCGAACTCGAGACTTTATTTTTTGAATTTAAACAAACATGAGCTTTTGCAGACTCGACCACCCCTCCTTCACAATTAAGTATACGTGTCAACCGGTTATGCGTCATTCATTGAGGTCATTGACTCCGATTTCAGCCTGCTTTTCTTTTTTGGATTTGCTTCCATAGCCTTTGTCCAACCAAGAACAAACTACAAGGCAGCAGTTGTTTGATTTTGGAGTTGTCTCTCCTAGAAGAGTGTCTGTCCCCAGCTAACGAGCCTCATCTGCCCGAGGGTTCGAACTCGAGACTTTTCGGTTTAGCAACCGACTCGACTCTTCTGATATGGGACGGCGTGAGCTAAAGATGGAGCGCTAGAGGCTAACCCGATAGTTTCGAGTTCGAATCCGGGTTCAAGTTAGTGGAACGTCTTTGAGTCCACCCAACTCTTATGGGTACCTAACTCACGTTAGGGAAAGTAAAGGCGGCTGGGCATAGTGCTGACCACATTATCTTTTTATGTGCAGAGGTCAAGAAACATATGAACTCTACTTCATCTGCCCAACGGATCGTTAGGTCTTACTTCTTCTGTTGATGCAGGTGTGGTGATGTTATATCCCCGAACTAACTCTCACCTAACCCTCACCTAACTCTCACCTAACCCTCACCTAACTCTCACCTAACCCTCACCTAACCCTCACCTAACCCTCACCTAACCCTCACCTAACCCTCACCTAACCCTCACCTAACTCTCACCTAACCCTCACCTAACTCTCACCTAACCCTCACCTAACTCTCACCTAACCCTCACCTAACTCTCACCTAACCCTCACCTAACTCTCACCTAACCCTCACCTAACTCTCACCTAACTCTCACCTAACCCTCACCTAACCCAGGTACTCACATTATCTCTCTCAATGTGACGTAAGGTGGGCAGGTTGGGGTGGAACAAGGTTGTCTTGACCGAGGCCAGCCTGACCCTGCGCTTGGTGGGGTGGTGGTAGGCGTTGTCCGGAGTAACGACCCTCAGGGCGCGGCCATCTTGAGAGATACAGTAAGCCATTTGTTGTCTGGTGGACTACCTTCGAGGGTGGGATCAGGAATGGAGAAAAGGTTAGGGCTAGGGTTGCTGTACCAGACAAACATATAACCTACCGTGGTTGTGACAACTACAAGTACCTTAGCTAGAACAATCGAGATTAAATCTACAAGGCTTAATCAAATCGTGGACAAACATCCACTAAAATCATTATCATACTTCATTTTACGCATTTGTCGAGTTAGTAGTTCGTCTAAACACAATTTTCAGTGGGCTGCCTAGAAAATATTGAACAGCAAGGCGAACAAAGGGACTTGGTCTTTTATCTTTCCATGTCTGGAGAGCAATGCATTATAATAAAATGTGCACAACAAAGTGCAGAAAGGTGCAGAAACGGGAAGATCCGTTCACTTGACAAGGGGTCGCACAGATTGAGGGACCATAGTCCATAATTAAGAGTTGATCTGGCCTTTTCTTCTAAGCCGAAATTTCAAATTTACTAAACACCATATTCTAATTGTTTGTGTGCTTTATTATCTCCCCTGCATGCAGACATTCTGTTTGCGTCTCATACATTGACACTACAATCCTGTTATTTTCAGCATTAATTTTGAAATTTGAATATTTTAATTGGGGTCTGAATGTGTATCCTTTCCCTCAATGTGTTTGCCTATTTGATGCAGCATACCAGTGTCAACACATCTTTGCCTATTACTCACTAGCGCTGAAATGTATTGGTGTAGGGGAGGTAACTTTGTTTTTTTTTCCACAAAATATAAATAGATAAAACTAAATTTATTTTATCGGAAATGTTATAGTAAAAAAATAAAAAAATAAAAAAATAAAAAACCCTCTTGTATGTTGTATTAACTTTATTCTAATTCCTGTCTTTTATCATCTAATCAGCCAAAATTTTCAATTTGAATACACTTTCAACAGCCCCGTTTCGGTGTTTTCGACTAAGGTGTGTCAGACTATTTAATCACATGTCGTATGTCGCCTATCTTAGAGGCTTATGTCAATAGAAGCTTGAGCTTGTTTGAAGTAGTCAACGAAAAAAAATTGCATTAATCTAAAGTATATTTTATCTAGGCCTGCATGAAAAAAAATTGCGTTCACCTAATGTGTATTTTATCTAGGCCTGTTTGAAAAAAATTTGCGTGAACCTAATGTGTATTTTATCTAGGCCTGCATGAGAAAAAAAAACAGGACCAAAAAACTGGGGGATAACTTTTAACATGTAACGGTATGTCACTCATGTGGTTACCTAACTTTTTTCGCAGTTAAGTTTTTCCTGTAGCGGTCACGGCGAAGTTCCGATTGACCTAGTTGCATACACATGTTCAATGGCCCGTGTCATGAATTAAATAAAACAGCGGGCCGTGGTGTACGAGTGTGTTGTGTGTTGAAATGTACCTAGGTCGCTGGAATATGGCGCCTTAAGTTGGCTGAGCTTAAAAATGTGACACAGAGTGCCGATTTTGAGTGATGGTATATTTTATTAAAATTTGGTGGATTTCATATGTGGATAAAACGAAGCATACTTTGTGGATATTTAAAGTGGATAATAAAAGTGGATGGTCTAGGTAATATCCTTAGATCTTTTATTTAAAAATATGCAATTGCTTTAAACAAAAAAGTGCCTATATGCCTATAAAAATAAAAATAATAATGCAAATCGGAATTTATTTTATTTTTAAATCTAAGACAGCGAATTCCTTTGGTTAGGGTTAAAGTTAGGTCAGATTTTCTGACATTTTTTTTTTGTATTAGTTGTAACGTATATTATGTTACCATTTTCCTGTCTACGGTATAACAGGAAACTCCTCCGACAAACACCATTTTAAAATCAATAAATCATTAACAATATCGGGATTTGACGGTGATCGCTTCTAAAACATCGATAGTCTTGTACTTTGGAGTCACGTGATCGCATGAGCAGGTTTTAAATATTTCATTGGTCGCCGTGAGAGGTGTTAGTGTTCTTCTTCTAGTCCAGGGCTAATCGTCTTGAGTCTTAAGGCTTGCGGGCCTCAGGCGGACAGTGAAGACGTTAGATTCGGCCTTGAGTACTTGAATTCGTCATGCGGTTTATCAGAATTCGTAGCGCAAATTGAACTGAATACCCATAAAAAATAAAAAAAACACCTCAAAAGTTTTGTTTAAGAAACACTGTATTACTGCTATACAACATGGTTCTGCATAAGCACACACAAACAATTGCATACACTTACACAAACGCTTATACACACACATACACACACACATACACACACATATACATATATATATATATATATATACATACATACATATACACACATATACATATACACATATATATATATATATTATATATATATATATATATATATATATATATATATATATATATATATATATATATATATATATATATATATATATATATACACACATCAGTACACACATTCTCACGCATGCGACCCTTGTTTTGAAACATCCATTAGGTAGCTATTTGTAGCCCATAGTTCCAGTAGTCTTGTGATCGTTGTATTCAGACACTGTGTGAAGATATTGCTGCTTTTGATTCGAATCTAGCTTGTGACTTTAACAGAGGGCCCAATGTTACATGGCCCCAGCATGTAACATTAAGTTTGTGGCTGTGGAAGTTAGTGTGTAACCGACGATTTATAAAGAAATAGCTAACTAGATAATCCTCATGCTGGCGCGTTTAACCCGTAGGCACTAAAGACTTTAATGAATATTTGCCGGGAATGAAAAAGAAGCATTTAAAAAATAGTGTAGTACAAAAAATGATTATACACAATGTCCCTCCACAACAAATGTCCCTCCACAACAAATGTCCCTCCACAACAAATGTCCCTCCACAACAAATGTCCCTCCAGAACAAATGTCCCTCCACAACAAATGTCCCTCCACAACAAATGTCCCTTTACAACAACTTGGCCCCACAACAAAATGTCCAGTCACTGCCCTTTTGCGCATACATTTTATGCCTTGATAATGAAATTGTTATGCAATACACCTGAAATTTACATATTTTTAATATACTTAAGGATAAAATATACACTGTCACTAGACCAACGGTGTTTTGATAGGATACAACATATGCTTTAAAACCATGTGGGCTACATCGTCATTTAAATGAATATACACACAGCAAGCTTTTTACATTTTTCGTTAGCTGTAAATATTCAAAGCGTTGCTCAAGAAAATTGTTCAAAGCACTTTAGGATTTTAGTGACCCACGTTTTAACTGTTAGGATAAAGGAAACAGAGGCGTAGCGACCCTTCCCGGCGCCCGGGGACAAACTTTTCGATTTGCACCCCCCCCCTCGAGATTTCGATTTGCACCCCCCACTCAAACTTTCGATTTGCACCCCCCGCTCGAGCTTTCCATTTGCACCCCCCCCCCTTAAACTTTCGATTTACACCACCCTCAACCTTTCAATTTATCTTTCCAACCCATTTTGGTGCCCCCTAAGGTCGGCGCCCGGGGACATATGCCCCCCGCCCCCCCCCCCCTCGCTACGCTGCTGAAGGGAAATGTATTTTCTTTTTTTTTTACTGAATTTAATAGTTTATTTTTTTAAATCCATAATGTTGTTATACTTTTGTTTTCTGCGTTTTAGTGTTTAGAAAAAGTATACAAACACTTTTGTTTTAAAAACAACAGGTACCATAGTTTCATTCCAAGTAGAATTTTCTTTCCACTAAAATTATTTTCTTGCACTGTGATTGGTGTCGGTCAAGAAATGCTGGACTGATCTCATGCCGATTCGGGACAATTAGCTGTTGACTGATTAAAACCTAAATTACCCTACTAGCTGCAGCTACGTGTTCATTAAAACAAAATTACCCCATGGACGTCGGCGTTGAGGTTTCCCCGTATAATACGAATACAATCTTAAATATTTAATTTTTTTTTTCTTGAGCCGCCCATAGAACATACATTTTCAATAGAAATCATCCCACTAGGCCGGACGAATGCCGAACGTCTATACCAGGGGTCGGCAACCTGCGGCTCGCGAGCCGCATGCGGCTCTTTGGTTGTCCAGTTGCGGCTCTTCAGTTCCATGCACAAATATTAATAATTATTTTATTTTCAAAATTCATAAAAATATTTGTCTGCAACACTCGGTAATAATCGATAAAACATAAGATATAAACAATAAATATTCACTATTATATTAGAAAGTGCGCACGTAGGCTTTTATATATTAGGATATTTAGTTAGTCCCTATCTCAATGTACTTCCTATTACATTGTCCATTCCGAACTGAAACATTCAACTTCATAGAGGATATCACAAAGAAACTAAACCAGCTAAGTGTAAAACTGAAAGGAAAACCCAGCCTATGTCTTGCTTGGAGAAGTGGTTTGTTTCGAAAAAAAATTCTTTTTTGTTGAATAGGCCTACGTGGTGAGCAGAAATTACTTAATTACGAAAAAATCTTTTAAAAAATTCGTTATAAAACCAATGCTACTATTCAATCACTTCTGCATTAATATAAACAAAATGAAGGATGTTTTCACTGAGAGATTTGAGCTATTCAAAACGAATGCAAGTACTCTGACTTACATAATAGATCCTCTCAACACAAATTCAAATGAGATTATATATATATATATATATATATATATATATATATATATATATATATATATATATATATATATAATCCTAAACAAATATACTATTGACATAAAAATATTAGTGGCTCTTTAAAAACCAGATAATGTTGTAAATTGTAACTTTTGGCTCTTTCGGCTCAAAAGGTTGCCGACCCCTGGTCTATACCAATGAGTAAATGAGGTAGCGACTCTGGAGTCACTCTTGACGACTGAGTCAGCATGACTCCTACTCACCAACTAAACGATTACGAAGACAGAGAGGAACAGATTATTGATGAGATAAGCGGATCTTGATGAATAATAGCAGTTTATTAATTCCATGGTATCGTAAAGCTTAATTAATACGTTAAGGGAGGCAACTTTTAATAACTATATAATTGATTAACACAATAAAATTTGAGCTGA